AAATTTTATTTATATATTTTAACAATTTAAAAAAATAGATCAGAGCTAAAAAAATGCAAAAACACAGGCAAATTTGCCTGTGTTGGCCTACAATCTAAGGGATATGATTTGGCTAGCTTTAAATCTATATTGTTACTTACAAGTGAGCTAGATAAATTACAGTAAATTACAGTGTAAAGTAAGTTGTTAGGTATGCTTTAACAACCCTATTCAGGACAAATTTTCACCTAGCAGCTGCAATTTTATTAATAAATAATGAGTAATTCTGGTCTAATTTTTTTTTCATTGCTCTTATAAATTTTTGAACTTCTAATGAAAAATTGACCAAATAATTGTTTAGATAATTCAATAAGTTTGTGATTTAGCAATAATAAATTTTTGATATAAGTAATTAGTATATAAAACAACAATATCAACACATATTTTTGCTTAAATGCATGTCCAATGTGTTTAGTATATTTAGTTTATATAAGAATTTATGATGAGAATTGTTTATGCTAACAAATAGATCTTAATAAAAAACAAAAAGGTCTGAATATAAGATTAGCTTTCATAATAAATATATTACATGAGTAGGTACTAATAAAAAAAAGTTTATTGTTAATAAAATATACTTTTAAAAAAATATATGAACTGAAGATGCAATTCTATACTGCAAAATAGAACTTCCAAATTAAATTTATTCAGATATTGAAAATCTTATCAAATAAAATTTACTTCATAGTTTTGGGTATTGCAATCTCTATATCACAAGTAAATAGTTCTTTCAAATTGGATTCACTTTACAGTTTTGAGTATTGTGAAACTGGCAGTAGGTGATTAGTTAAAATAAAATTCAAAAAACATGTAGGTTAATCCTTACAAGATCATTCTTATATATTTATATATATAAATTCTCTTATTACATTTGCAGTTCTCATTAACAAATACAATTAACTATTCTTCTATCAGTTCATATTCAGTTACTTGATTAAAACAAATCACTAAAAAAATCGAATGATATGATTATTTCTAAACCTTGCCCAAAGAATTGAATAGTATTATTATTTTTAAATCATGTTCAAAGAATCGAATAGCATAATTTACCAAGCCTTGTCTAAAGAATTGAATAACATAATTATTTTCAAACTTACCTAAAGAATCAAATACCATTATTTCTAAACCTTGCTTAAATATATTAATTATGCAACCAGTTTATATAATTATACAGAATCAAATCACATAGTAATTAAATTAATCATTCTATAAACTAAATAGATAAGCATGTATTTAAAGCTAACTAATTTGATGCAAGAAGCATAATTCTGCAAAATGAATGGCATCTAAATAAGTAGAATATGTATTCAAAGCCAAATAGTTTACATAATTATACAGATCGAATAGTATGATAATTAAATAATTCCCCTAACTATTAAATAAGTTAAATATGCATTCAAAGCCAACTGATTCAATGCAATAAAAATAAATTTACAGGTCAAATAGTATAAGCCTGCCCAAGTAAGTCTAATATGTGCTCAAAGCCAATCAAATCGATGCAAGAAGCATTATTGTATAATTAAACTATATTGTTATTAAGAAGGCATACTTGTACAATAATAAGAATTAGATTGTAAAAAAAAAAAAAATTTAGATATTTTAAAAAATGTATTTAAACTATGCTTTTTGACTTGAATAAAGCTTTAGAATTTGATTTCAAAATCTAAATAATTATTTAAATAATATTTTACTTCTATGTATTTGACTTTAAATCTTACTGCTATTGCATATTTATTAATTAAATTATTCTCGCTCTTAAATATATATTATAATTACATAATAATTGACAAACCTGACTTATAATCTTTACATTGCTTTGTGCATTTAAATCATCTCTTATTAGTACTATAACTTTTAAATAAAAATGAAATCTCAGTCTAGTTTAAGTTTTCACAAAACTATATATTCTGATAAAAGCAATAATAATAATAATAATAATATAACATCTCTACAACCATGTTGGCTAGTAATAAAAAAAAAAGAAGTAAAAAAAATAAATCAAGTTTTGTATGCAAGTATTTTAAAGAAATCAGAACAGAAGATGTGTGCCAAGTTATGATTAAAAAAATAGTATAGACAAAAAGTATGAAACTAGATATATTTATGATAATTCAATATCAAATATGATTGCTTATCTATGATCTCATAATATTGTAGATAGCAAAAAGTTAAAACCTGAAGAACCACAAAAATGACAAGCTACATTATTAGCAATAATCAAATCTAATACTAATACTTCACATAAAGGTGAAAGACGAAAAGAAATAATCAAAGAAGTTATTGAATAAATTCTTCTGAATAATAAATCTTTATCAGTACCAAGAAAAAAGAAATTTCATCATATAATGGCAATAATTGATTTGAAGTTTTGTCCATCTTCTAATAAGCTAATAAAAAATAAACTATTATTAAATTACCTAAAAAATATAAATGCTCTTAAGCAGAAAATTACATTGTCTTGTAAAACTGCTATATTAACAGAGATTTATGGATCTTATGTAATAACCAAGGCTATATTGGGGTTACTTGCCACTGGATAACTTCTAATTGATCTCTCCAGAGCATGTTATTATGTTGTGAAAAAATATTATACTCACATATTGCTAATTCCATTTATTAATTTCTTAATAATAAATGCACAGAATTTAATCTTAAAAATAAGATTGTATGCACTGTTACTGATAATGGCTCCAATATGATAAAAGCTATTAGGTTGTGAAATACTATTGTTTGACTTCCATGTACTATGCATACTTTACAATTAACAGTTAATTTTGCTTTGCAAAAAATTTGCTCACAAATAAAAAAAATAAAAAAATTAGTTTATTTTTTTAATTCACCAAAACAATAAGAAAGATTAGAAAAAGTCCAAATAAGGTAATAAAAAGAGATATATTAACATTTTCTAGCTTAGTTTATGCAGAATATTATGCTGAAATTTATCTTGATGATAAAGAAGTTGATAAAATTGATGATGGAAGTAATACAGAGTCAGAAAAACAATTAAATGTAAATACTACTCCTAAGCCCCTTCATCCAATTAAAGACTGTTCTACATAGTAGAATTCTAAATATCAGTCTTGGGAAAGATTATTGAAATTATTATATGGCTGGAAGTAAATTTGAACATTTCACGGAATCCAGATAACAGAAAAGATAGAAAAAAACTTAAATAATACTTGCCTAATAAAAATGAATAGAAATTAATCGAAAAATTAGTTAAAACTTTTGAAAAATTTGATCATACAACAGAATCATTTAGTGCTGAAAAGTACCCTACAATATCAATCATATATTCCATTATTGAACTCCTGAAATTCAAATTCGCAGTAGATCCAAATCTTCTCTTGGTTGATGATGATTATAATCTAAATAATGAATATGGTATATGCTTTGTTTTTTTTTTTTATAAAAATAATAGAAAGTAAATAAAATAATAAAATCAATAAAAAAAAAAAGAAAATTGTATAATTTTTTATATTAGTTTATAAATATTAATATTAGTTCTTATCTTCAGAATTGGATATAAACAGTGATAGTGAAGATGAAAAAAATTATACTCAAAATATCCTTAACATTCAATCAACAATTGCTCAAGTTAGGCAGACAATTTACAATTCACTTTGAAAATATTAGGGAACTTCAATGTTCACTGGCTTTATAGCAACTTTATTAGATCCAAGGCTCAAAAAAATGCACCCTTGGTCTGAAGAACTACAGAAAGAAACAATTAGAATATGCTGTGAAAAATGTAACAATATTATTAACAAAACACTTATACAATTAACACATTCCAATGTAACTTTAACTAATTGTTACTTCACTTCAATATTTGATAATAAGGATAATAATAATGATAATTTATCTGCTAATGAATTAGATAAATATTTAGACATGCCTATTGCCTCAAAAACCAAGTCACCCTTAAACTGGTAGAAAGAATAAGAAAAAGGCTTTCCAAATTTGAGCAAATTGGCAAAAAAAATATTTATCTATACCAGCTACTTCAGTACCAAGTGAATAACTATTTTCTGATATAGAGAACCAAGTAACTTCTAAATGGACTTGTCTTAATCCAGAAACCGTTTTACAAATACTGTTTTTAAAAAGAAATAATGATATAATTAGTATTACATAACTTTTTTATTTGTATTTCATATAACTACAATAAAAAATTTTTTATAACTTACAAAAACTGCCATTATGAATTATAAAATAGGTTATAAAAAAACTAAGTAACTTATTCATAGTTGTAATATTTAAGATTGTAATGCTTCACTAAAAAAAAAATACATATTAATTAGTAAAAGTTTGAAATAGTATAAAAACATTAAACTTCACAATGTAAAAGATTTTTAAAAGCCAATATGAATATTCTATTATTCTTGTACTATATGTAGATTTTAAATGCTAAAATCAAATGATCAAAATCTAAAAAAGCTTAAAGATCTTGTTTAGCATGTCTTAAAATCATGATCTTAATACCTATAAACTAAAAAAATAAAATCTTTGAGTAAATAGATATATGTACATACACAATTTAAAGGCCACAATACTGTAATAAGCAAAAAAAAAGAAAGTAATTTATCTGTTTGATTTAGTATATTGACCAAACACCCTAATGTATATAATATATGCTTGATTTATATTCAGGTTACCTGGATTATCTGACTTATCTGGTTTACCTAGGTGATCTGGTTTGTAACCCAGTAATGATTTTTTGTTTGGGCAGATAATCTGAAGTTAAAATTTTTGATGAGTACAATCTCTAACTACACAAGTCAACACCCACTAGCAGTACAAAATATAAGAAGCAAAAAAGTCCAAACTGTATCAAAAGAGAAAAACAACATACCAGAATTGTATATAGAGAAAATGTGACAAAGACAGAAGCAGTAAACATAATAATGAATGAAAAAGAGATACAACAAAATACAAGTTTAGAAGAGAAAAAAAGACAAAAAAAAAGGAAAAGCAAAGAAGTTAGAAATACAGAAACAATAAGCATGATAATTGAAAAGACAAAAATAGACAACTATATAGAAAAAAGAATAAAAACATTAAAGACAGACATAATGCAAGAAAACTATAAAGACATCATTATGGCAATTAGAAACTAAGAAGAAACTGAAAAAGATAAAAAAGATAGAATTCATAAAACTAAATGATAAAAAAACAGAGATAAGACTATAAAAAAACTACTAGAACAAAGCATCTGGTCATCCTCAAACAGAAAATGCAATAATAAAAGAATATATGCAGCAAAAATACCAGCATACAATGTACCAAGTAGTTTACAAAAAGAAAGAACAAAATTCGTTAAAAGATTGCTAGTATCCAACAAACATATTAAGAAGGTCAAAGAAATGTTTAAGAGAGATAATGCTTGGATTATGGTCATATTTGACTGTAAATATGGCAGAGAAGAAGCAATCAACAAAATCCAAAGAAAACACAATGATTAGTTTAAAATAATTCCAGATATAGATGAATCAAAAGAAGAGAAAACTAAAAAAAATGAGAAGTTAAAGCAGAAAGATAAGCTGATAGAAGAAAAGAAGAATAAAGAAGAAGTCAAGAGAACAGAAAACAATTTACACAACCAAGGAAAAGAAATTATAGACAAAAAAAATAAAGAAAACACAATAGCAGTAACAGTATAGAACCTGCCAAAGGAGATAACAGAATATGAAATTAAGTATCTAATAAGAAAAATAGGTAAAATAACAGAATGCAGAATCCAAAAAAGTGCATACAGAACAATAGCAGTAATAAAAATAAAAAGAAAGAAGAACAAGCATTTTCATAGTTAATTCCTTTAAAAAATGAAAAGTTAGCAAAAATGACAATAGATAAAGAAGAAGAGAAGAAGAAAAAAAAAAGAAATTAATTTACAGCAAGACTGATAGGAATACCAAAGGAAATCTCTGAACTAATTCTACTATGAAAGCTTAAAACCAGAAAGGCAATAGCAGTATACATTTCACCAAACAGATAGAGAAGATCAAGGAATTATACAATAGTGTTATTTAAAAGTCAGAAAGATATGAATATAACTACTAGAAAAAAGATCTAGTACAATGAAGTCTCGATGTTCTAGGAAGTCAAACCAAAAAGATTAAATGATCAACCTTATAAAGGCAACAACAAGATACAAAAGATACAAAAGAAAGAAGAAATAGAAGATCTCAACCCAGAAAAAGAGCATACAAACTCAGAAGAATATATGAAAAAGAATAAATATAGCATAAGACCAAATAATAGAAGAAATAAACAAAAAAACAGAAGCCACCAGAACAAAAAAAATGGAAAAGAAAATTTAGCAAGTACAGACCAGAAAGAAAATAGGCCAAGAAAAGAAATTAGGAGTATAAGAAAGGCACAAGAGCAGGCATCAGATATAAAAAACATATTAGGTCAAATACTAAAAAAACTAAAAAAATTAGAGATAGCTAAAGAAAAAGCATGAAATGCCCAACCAGATTGCTCCTAAAGGTGCCATAGTTGAATTAACAAGAACAGATGAAGAAGTCGAGAATTTTCTGTAAAGAGAAAGAGAAGTTTTTAAAAAAAAAATAGTATCTTCTTATTTAAAAAAAAAGAAATGCAGAAAAGAAAAAGAAAAAGCAGTTAACACAGAATTATTATAAAACTAGTTAAAAGAGAAGTAGAAAAAAGGTAAAAAAGAAATAAAAATAGCATGCTACAATATTAATGGACTAAAAACCAAAGGTTGGAAACTTGAAAACCTGCTCAGCTAGGCAGAAAAAAAAGAAATTACAATACTGAGAATCACTAAAACAAATCTTGCAGAAAGAGAAGAAAAATTTTTAATACACAAATAACAAAAAAATATGTTGTTTTTTGGAGTAGCACAACAGAAGACAAGAAAAGGGATCAGGTGTAGAGGTGCTAATAGAAGAACAATAGGCAAAACATGTAGGCATAGTTAGGAAGATAAATGAGTATATAATAGAAATTATACTATACTTCAAGCAAATAGAATTAATAGTAATAAAGGTTTATATACTACCAAGCAACAAAGAAGTAAAAAGAAACGTTCAACAAAAAATAGTTAAAATTATTACAAAGAAGAATAGACTAACACAAATAATAATTATGGAAGACTTTAATCATACAGTAAACAATGTTCTAGATAAAACCTACAAGCTGCAAACTATAAAAGATTACTATTATTTAGTTAGATAAAAAAACAGAACTTTTATAATACATACAGAAAAATGCACCTAATGGAACAAAGATACATATGGTCAAACTCAGAAACAGCAACAAGAATTGACTATATATAGGTATTAGAAGGACTGGCTTCAGGTCTACAAAGAGCAGAAATTGAGGACATAAAAGAAATTACTAAAAGTGATCACAAGATAGTTATAGCAGAAATATGGATAAAACATATGATCACAAAAAATAGCAAGACAGAAGTCAAAAGAAAGAACCAATCAAGAACAATATATCTCTATTATAAAGCAAAAGAGGAAGAGTGGAAGAGTTATGTACAAGAGATACAAAAGTGATTAGAGATAAAAGAAACTTTAAGAAATATACAAAGAGAAGAACAAGAAGAGAAAGAGAAAATATGAAAAATTAACGAAATATGAGATATAATAGAGAAGGCAATTATAACAGCAGCAAATAGACATATATCAAAGAAGAAGATTTATAACATAATGATAAACAGAAGACATAGCCAAAAAAATCAACAGCAAAAAAAAATCATCATAGAGCTTCAAAGACTAGTCAAGTATGCAAAAACAAAAAGAGAACAGAAAGTGGCAGAAGCAGATAAAAGTGAAGTGAATAGAAACCTCAAAATACTTAGCAAAAAAATTGATGCAAGACTACCAAAAATTCAAAGACAATAGTCTGATGCTTGGATAGAAGATATAAAAGGCTTGCAGAAAATCTTACAAGAAAAAAGAAAAAAAGAATAGGAACAGAAACAAAAATAACAAATAGAAGATAATATAGACAAAAGATGTGAAATGATCAAAACTAATCAAGAGAAGATGATAGCTAGCCTTTTAAACAAGCCATACAAGAAAGTAACACTTGACAGAATAATTAAACAAACAGAAGAAGAACTAGACTAGTAATAGAAGCAAAGCTAGTTAAAGAAACAACAGTAGAACACTACAAGAAGCAGTTTAGAAAAAGAAATACAAAATTAGAAGAGATGTCAGAAAGCTAAAAAGAAATCTATAAACTACAAGACTACATTAAAGAAGAATGGTATGAGGAAATCAGAAAGAAAATTGAAGAAGAGAAATGGAATAAAATAATTAGAGAACTCAAGACAGAAACAACTTCAGGAATATCAGAAATAAGTTATATCTTAATCAAATGAGTAGAAAGAAAAACTCAAGAGGTTTATAGAGTCTATGCAAATTTGTGCTTAGAAATAGATGAGATACTAATGAAATGGAAAATAGCACAAGTATATTCAATACCAAAAGACATAAAATAGTAATACAGTTTAAATAATATTTGTCCAATAGCTCTTGAAACATTTAAAAAGGTTGTAACAAAGTCAATAACAAAAAGACTTAGCAAAATATTTACAGAAAAAGAAATACTTAAAGGACCAAACTATGCAGCCCTACCAAAAAACTTAACAAAACAACCTGTACATATCCTAAACATGATAATGAAAGAAGCAAAAAAAAAAAATAAAGAGGTGTAGATATTCCTGCAAGATATGAAAAAGGTATTTGACTTAGTTTCACTTGA